GAAGAACGAAAGATCACCAAGGATCCGACCAACCCTTTTTCGCAATTGAGATTTCTAGGGTGTCTTGCGTGGAGAAATCCGAGCTCCTTCTGTGTCTTTCAGTCGGTCAACGTCGTCGTCGTTAGAGCTACAATCAGCGGTGCCATGGAGCAGCAGAGCAATCAGAGGACTGCCCAGCAACAAGACGAGCTCCAAGAAATGCACCATGGCCCTGTCCCCGTCGATCAACTTCAGGCGTCCGACATAGCTTCCATTGATGTAAAGAAACTTAAAGATACAGGTCTTTGCACTGTTGAAGCTGTCGGAATAGCAACCTCTCGGAATAGATATCAAGAGCCTGTGTCGCTTCCAGGAAAATCTTTCTTCAGCAACCCAATTTGCTCGAGCTCGAAGCCCCAGTCAAAATTTGCAGTGAAACCCAGATGAAATCAAAGAAAAACCTATGCGAAATCTCAGAGAAGTTTACATAGAAAGAAAGGAAGAAAGAGCACTTGTATTACGAATAAGGAAATACGCGGAAACGAAAGAAAGTAATGAAGAAAGATAGAAGAGGAATCGACCACCAAGATCCATGGCGTGAGCCTTGGTGGCTCTGATACCATGTTAACTACATTGTAATGTTTGGAAATTGAAAGAAAATCAAGAAGAAAGCTGAAGAGAAGAAAGATCAACACAGAGAGTTTTACAGAGAGATAGATTTAGAGAGAGAAATATGCTTTTGTATTGATTGATAGAATGAAGGTTACACAACTGTTTTTATATGGGAGAGCCTAACTACTCTAACCAACTTACTAACTGTATTGCTAACTTGTATACTTAATAGGAGGAAGGCGGAGACAAAGCAAACACTATTCTACATCAAAGCGATGTCTTGGGTTTGATATCATAGTTATAGGGCGGCGAAGGAAAATTTCGACGGATATTTTACGGTGAGTTTTCTTTCTCTGTAGATGTTCTAGTTACAATACTTCTGTTTATATATACACATTTAAAATGGAGAAAGATTAGGCAAGATTCTCTTATGTAATCTATGTATATCAACATCATGCATAACGTGCCAGTCGGTCGCATAAAAATTTTAAGTAAAGCCTAACTGTTGACCGTCTTCGCCCTACCGATTGAATTATTTGTAGGGCAAGCCCTTTTTTTTTTTTTTTTTTTGGTAGTGAAGTGATTGAAAACCAAAGTAAAACCTAAAAATCATCAAAGTACAGAAACAACCTCTTATGGTATCAATTCTTTTCAATATCAATCCAACAGTCCCGACAGTTTTTTTATACGTATACCACACTTGGAAATGAAGAGGTATACTCCTAGGTTGAAAACACTCAGCACTGCCAATAGCCAGAAGAAATAAACCAGGTGTCCGTAGTTCAAATTGTTTGGTATCCATCCAGGGTTGCCGTTCTTTGTAGTCGCTTTGGTAACGATGGTGACAAGAATAGAGTTGAAGTAGTTTCCTAGTGAAACAGTGGAGAGTGCGAGAGCAGAATACAAGCTCCTCATGGCATCCGGCGCTTGATCATAGAAAAACTCCAGCTGTCCTATGAACGTGAAGACTTCTGCAGCTCCCATGAGGAAATACTGAGCTACTTGCCAAAAGACTGACATGGGCATATGCTCGTATTCGTAATAGTTGTTCTGTCGAAGACTTCGGAGTCTGATGAGTTCCAAAACTGCAGCACAGACCATGGAGAATATGGAGATGAAGAGGCCAATGCCCATCCTCTGGAGTATGTGTTAGGCCATTCTTGTGACCGGTGTATTTTCTAGCTGCTGGGACAATGATTCGATCGTATATTGGGACCCAAAGAATGACACTTAGGGTGTCAAAGATGGAAAGAGATGCTGCTGGGATTTCCAAGCTAGAGCTGCCAACACCAATATCCATGAGGGTGCCTTGCAACACAAAGAAGTTGCTCATCTGATTGTAGACTGCAGCAAAGATGATACCAGTGGCCCATATGGGAAGCAGCCTTATGATTGATTTTAGCTCCTCTACTTGGGTAACTGTACTGAGTCTCCATGGGCTTTTCGAGTCCTTTAAATGTTCATCTTGTACCTCCACTGCTGCTTTGTCAAAGAACCAGAGCAGTAAAATTTCAGATCAATTAACAGAACAGCAACAACAACGAAAGTAAAACTACAAAACCACTATTCTCTCTAATGCTATTGAAAAAAGACCTCTCAATTTTGTAGTTTGATTATTCAGCTGAACTGAGCCTTAATCCCATCTTAGCAAAATTAACTTTAATGAGGAAGATTTTTCCGTTTAAAAACTAACCTAAATTCATTTCTGTGATCAAGCTTGCGGCTTCCTTGGATGGAAGATTCTGCATCTGCAGTCTCATACAAAAGGGAAATGTCTTCGGGTACTTTCACCTTGCATTTTCTAATGGACGCCACAACCACCTGAATTATGCGCGTCAGAGGACTACCTCCAGGCTTCTGATTCCTATACAACCGAGTCCCAGCAAAGAACCTCAGCACAGCAATTGCCATTGCCACTGTTGGAATGCCGAAACCCAATCCCCAACCCACGTTGTCTTGTATCCACACCAACAGAGAACTAGCAATCAAAGCACCAACATTGATGGAAAAATAGAACCAATTGAAGAAAGAACCCTTGTGCTTCTTTTCAACCTCATCGTCATCATCAAACTGGTCTGCACCGTAGGACGAGACACACGGCTTAATCCCACCCGTTCCCAGTGCTATTAGGTAAAGCGCTATGAAAGTTGCTCCAGTTTGTCCACCATTTGCATGGCAACTATCTTTGCTAACACAGGTTGGTTTCATGCCCGGGACTGAAGCTGACATTGTCAAAAGTGTCATCCCCGAGGAAAATTATCACAGAATCCGTAAGTTTCTATTGATGGAGGAGATAACAACCCACCAAAACCAAACTCCAACAGCAACCAGGGATTGTAAGCCTGCGGTAAACTACGATTTGACTTAGAGGGCCGCTTGAAAATCAATTGGGATAAGCAAAATAGAAGTGACGGTTTTTAGTTCTCACATTTATTTCTTGTTTTTTCCATATATTTTCGAATAATTTTGGGTACTCACTAATGAATATTCACTTTTTTATTTTATCTAATAATATTTTAACACATGTATTATTGTTTTAAAAAATAAGTCAAATAAGAAAGTGAGTACTTAAGTATTATCCTATATTTTCTTTATATCTTTAACGAAAAACTCAAAACGAAATAGTTATCAAACTGGTTAAAAACTTTCTCAAATTGAAATAAACAAAGTAAGAATTTGAAGGCAAGAGAACTTACAATGATATAAACGATTGAGAAAGAGGCAATAGTCTTGTATCTTCCCAATTAGGCATCAGCCAGAAAAGCTCCAAGCAATGGAGTAAGGTAGCAAGTTCCACTCCAATTCGAGTTATTTTTCGTAGCAGCAGCACTCGTCTGGTTCAGTTGAGTCTTGAAATAAATCACCAGATTTGAGCTTATCCCATAATTAGCCAACCTCTCACAGCATTCAGTCCCTACTCACAAATCCAACCCAAAAACATTAATTAATTAAACACAATTAGTGTCAGTAGAAATAAAATAAAATCCCAATCTTTGATACAATTTCCAGGACTAAAATTCATTGCATGCAAGTTAGAGATCTTCAAAATGTACCTAGAATAAAAGGGCAGGCTTTCCAGGTTCCTGTTGCATTTCTCTTTGCTGGATTTCCACGAAAATCCACGGTCCCATCTTCGGTATGCACATCATTTCTGACGAGAGAACATTCTGCCATATATGGCTTCTGGACTCTCTTTTGCTCTTGCCTGCACCCAAAATTCACAAAGAATCAAGCTGCAAACCCAGCAACCGCATCAAACAAAAGGGTTAATCTTTTTCATCAACTTTTTGCCCAAATTTCAATAGAAAATTACATACTGATGAGTTTGGTGGTCCATTATATAGGCTCCCATGTCGGAAAAGAATTTTCAAATGGTAAGTTCATTGCATTGACTTGTCTCCTGTGGGTGGTGAACAAAGTCATCAGTGTAGGTCCTACAGTGTGTATGTATGTGGCCGGGGAAGTGTAAAATATCTGCCTTCATGCATGTATAAAAGAGGTTTCAAGTTTGCATCTCAAACCCATTGACAAAAGGAGAAAAAGGGTCCATTAAGCGGCCAAAATATATGGTACGTTGTCAAATTTTTGTGGCAACATTTGGGTAGGAGTTGTGGCGGCTGCCCCGTCAATGACCGCTGTAAATGAGCCATGGAATGTAAAGCAACTGCACCTCCATGGCGAGTGATGATGGTGGCAGATCGATCCAACCCGGGAATCAGCGGGTGCACTCCAATATGCGCCTTCTCATGCAGTACCTTAAGCATCATAAGTTGATCATTTTGTTCATATTATAACATGTGTATCTATTTATTAATACTATATCTTAGTTTCATAACATGTCAACAATGTCGTCCACTCAAATTGTAACACATGATGAATTATTAACACCATCAAAGGTGTGACTATATTATACTAAGAAATTTTTAGAGGCTAATTACTGCAATGGTTTGAAGCCAATTCGCCTTTTTTTGGTTCCAATTGTGGACATCCTGGATATAATTTCTTTGTGATTGTTTTGTCCCTTGTCGTCCTTAGATTCTTAGTCCGAGAGACCATCATAATCATATTTTGTTGACAATATGATGGCAATTAGTATTTTCTTCCATTTATCACCAAATATCCCATTCATCGTATCCTATATATTTGGAATTTGGATATGTTAAAATCTAATATTTTGCTGACATTTGACCGCGTCCTAAGGAATATTAGTCTGGAATTTTTACCTAATAATGGCATGCCCAAGAATCACTAGCTAATTTGTGGATCACTGCCCTAAAAAGAAAAAACTTTGTGAATCAAAGCTGTCAATGCAGTAATCCTTCTTAATAAACACACAAAAATGAGACCCTCCAAATATACGTCACTTCCCATATACCCCTCTATTACGCAACCCCTTTTGGAGTTCTTTGTGGCAACATTTGGGTAGGAGTTGTGGCGGCTGCCCCATCAATTACAGCCGCAGACGAGCCATGGAACGTAAAGCAACTGCACCTCCGCGGCGAGTAATGGTGGTGGCAGATCCAACCCGGGAATCAGCGGGTGCACTCCAATATGCGCTTTCTCATGCAGTTCTTGAACACGATGAATTGATCCTTTTCTTTGTTGAGAACCAAAATACCTGGCGAAACACATTCACGACGTTACTCAAAATACCTAGCATTGCTTCCGCGGCCATCGCTACTATGTCCTTTGAAGGAACCTTTGAGGAGGACGTGGATTTTCTTGAAGAAATGAAGAATGTATGCGAACGTGTACAACCAAAATTGCGTGTGCGTGTGGAGAGGGTGGCAATGGAGGAAGGCAGAGACAAAGCAAACACTATTCTACATCAAAGCGATGTTCTTGGGGTTGATATCATAGTTATAGGGCAACGAAGGAAAATTTCGATGGATATTTTAGGGTGAGTTCTCTTTCTCTGTAGATGTTCTAGTTACAATACTTCTGTTTATATATATATATATATATATTTTTTTTTTTTTTAAGTGGAGAAATTAAGATTACGTGGGATTCTCTTATGTGATCTATGTATATCAACATCATGCATAACATAAGATTTCTATGTATATTAATATCATGCATAACATGAGACTATATATCTTTGACTTGGACTTTTCATAATATCGTTCCACTTTTAATTTTTAACGTCATATCTCAAGAACTACTAGGTATCTTAATTTGATTTTTATTAAAAGTTAAGAAAAATGAGAAACGAAAACAAACGGAAATTCATGCAAAAAGGCGATGATATATTGAAAGTGGCATGAGTTCGAGTCATTTGGCTAGCCCAAGGGGTCAGAGAGGATGACAAAATTAAATTTAAATTCGAATTTAATTCCTTCCAATGTAATTGTTCGCTAATTCTAATTTCTGATATTGTGTGAAACAGATCCTATACGTGGCCTGGAGGGCGAGGGGTAAAGGCGATAGACACAGCAGACTACTTGATCGAAAATAGCAAACGCACTTGTGTTGCAGTACAAAAAAAGGGGTTAGATGGAGGCTACCTTCTCAACTCAAGAACCCTCAAGAATTTCTGGCTTCTGGCTTAACCTCGCTTGGTAAATGACCATCTTAACCTGGCCGGGATCATGGTTAATTAGTAATTCATCATGTTTAATTAGTAATTCATCATGTTTAATTTCTCTTGGTTAAGGAGTGACTTCCATTTGTACAAGCGCACGGATTTGGAAATGCTGCTGCCTCTGGGAGAACCTTGGACATATATTTGGAAATGCTGCTGGCTCTGGGGACATATTTGACAATGCCAGGTCACAATTACAAACTGTACAAAGTAACCTCCTTGTTAATTCAAATGTGAAGCACACATTTTCAGAACTCTTTCTGATGCATGAATCTTTCGGCTGGTTCCTCCATTTTATGAACATTATAAATTGTCATATATTTGGGCATGAACCATGCCATTTCTAGATAATTACTAAGTTGTCTAGCCGACTGAGTACGTGTACCTGCCGTTCCTATAACACACATCACGTGATAAACATCTGCTACTTTAGTAGGTCATGAATCTAACAACTATGAGTATCACAAGATCTAAATTGTTTTTAAAAAAAAAACACTCAAATATTGTTTAAAAAAAAAAAATTCAAATATTGTGGTACCTCTACTTCTAAGTTCTAAGTTCAAGATTGACTTAGCACATACGTAACATGAAATGAAATTTTGATATGGGTTTGATTGAAATAGGATATGTTAAAAAGATTTTGATCCAAACCCCTGGCCCAAAAACTGGGTTGGTCCATTTCGGTTCTATTTAAGTATTGAAGCGGGCCAGTTCAAAATATATAGGAAAAAATGACAATGATCGTCGTTTAATCAACTAACAGAGAGATTGGTTGTTACTTCACAAGGATAATTGAATTGTTGGAAGACTGAAGGCATGTTTTAGAACATTTAATTCCATATTTTATTTCGTCTTCTTAACCAGTCAAAAAATGCATTTACGTTTACGAATTTTATATCCAGGAAAAGAAGGAATAAATAAAGCCATTTAAATGGCCGATCCAAATATGTGGCCTGAAAGTGCTTGACTGTGGCAACGGATAAAGTGAAATTCCTCAAAGTCTCTCAGATACGGAAGAGGTGGATAATTGTGGTTTGCTACCATATAAAAATAAATAAATTGGTGGCCTGAAAGGAAAGTATATAATAAAAGGAGACAACACAAAGATAATGGATACCATCTCCGACAGAAGAAACTCTTATGCTCTGATGGCATAGGAATTAGGGTTCTTGTGAGTGTATGCGTGGAAAAAATATATATTAGGGTTTGTATTCCATATCAAACTAAATAGCAGATAATTGTTAGTATGACTTATCACTTACATCAGCTAAAGTATAACCAAAATGTTAACAAATCATTTTAGCTAGCCAATTTTTAAGTTGTTTCAGAAGTCTCTTTATATTTTTGTTTTAAGTTCTCTAATGAACTAGTTTTTAGCTTGGATAATACTTGGTTCTTTATGTAAAAAGTCATTTCCCATTATATGACGACGATGACATCACTTTACATTACAAACTTCATAATCTGAATTATCCATTTTTTACAATCATCTAAAGATCATTAGTAGAAAATTTAATTAATTTGGAGACTATATATGCCGAACAATTTGACAGTGATGTTAACAAGTAATATCCTCATAATTAACCGTCAACTGTTAACTTGTTAGTTTTCTAGATGATCTTTAGATGATGATAAGCGAAATAAATGGTTCAAATTATGACATTTGTATGGTAATTTGGTCAAATAATGTCACGTTGTCATATAAGGATAAATGATACTGTTAAAATATTGAAAAACTATTTTGTAAAAATGGGAAACGACAGGAAATAGGGCTTGACGGCGAGAGAGTTCATAAATAGGGCTTGACGGCGACAAAGATTAATTTCAAGTGTCAAATTAACTCAACCTATCATGCAAAGGTTAGATGAGCTGTCGCCACCCACCCCAACCCCCTCTCAAAACTTTAGTTTCAGGAAACAGACTTTCTGATCGATCGATTTGGCAATCCAATGAAAACTATTGCTCAACTATAAAATAATAGTACTGGTTTCTGTTAACATCCCTGTATGCTTGTTTCTATTGTCTACCCACCACTTTCAATTTCAACTTCCACATTCACAATCTTCCCCCGATGATCAAATGCATGGAAAATTATCCATCAATCTTATTTAATTAGTTGTTATCATAACGACAGCAACCCTAATTAATTTATTTGTTTGAAAACATCAATTAGAAATATAAAAAGCAGATTGTTAGTTTTGAAAAGCATAGTATATATGCTAAGGTTGTTGGCATTAATTTGAAAATGATTTATAGTTTCAAAAATAATTAATGGAACTAAATAACTTGATCCTCATTGATTCATAAAAAGGGATCCAAGGAGTCGTCCTAAGGACACCAAGCAACTCCTTAAGAGTTCAAAAACCTTTTATTTGTCAATAGTCTATCGCTCATAAGATTTGTACTCAATACGTCCTTCAACAAAAAGGAGATTGAGTGCAGCTAGACAAAAAATGAATAAGCTCAAACCCATTGAAGCATGTCTCACATTACGAATTCAATGAAGTTAAATTCTCTTTACATTGATGGTTGCACTACTAATTGCGTTGAGCCGTTTTTGTATAAAACTCAACACATAAAAGTTTGCACAACGATTGAACCCAAGTTGGAACCATGAATTGAAAATCCCAAAGTCTTGATTTGGGAAGCCAGAATTGAGTCCCTGAAATCTAAGTAAAAAAGAGTTAAGTACCACTGTGGAGTTGTCTTTACATGTGCCTCGCTAAAGAGTGGATCCAATTGAGAGGGGTGTGACCAGCTAAAGGGTGATCCCACGTGAGGAGGCGTGTTAAGCATGTCCCCACATCAGATCTTTTGGGCCGAACTAAACCTTGCATCGATGCCCTTTTGGATAAAACCCCCCATTTATTAGTTTACACATGTAGTGAAGTTAAACTATATCGATATTGGTTAGTAATTAACAGCCGTCCATCTTTCAAACTTTAATAAAACTTCTTTGATTTCTATTGCATTTGAATAATGTGGAACTTTTTCTCCAAGAGTGAAACTGGCGTCGCTGAGGTACAAATTAATTTAGTTTAGAAATTTTGAATTTCTCGTGAGAGTATAAACAATGAAGTCTATATAATATATGGAAGCTTTTTCTGTTATGTTCTGTTGCCAACTTAATTGATGTAACTGTCTCTATCTAATATATATAGATCTTATTAATTAATTAGTCAATAACAATATAAAGTGGTATTATAAAGCTAAATTATCATAAAGAAATCAAGTGGTTAATTTCTGTTGAGCTTAATTGTGGCTTGTTGTCTATGTCATTTCCTTGACCTTTAGAGATTTCCATGGTTGGAGAAGCAATCCATCCACTTTTTCGTTTGTTAGCTGGGGTTTGGGTGTACTTTACCCCATACGGCGGTTCACCAAACCAGTGGCTGCTGACCACCTTGCCCTTCAGGCAACAGTAGTGTTTTAGTTGACATGTAAGATATAACTACTTCAAGAAGTTTCTTGGCCTTCAGCTACACGTACATTCTAATATATTTATACGTATAGAGAGCTCCATGCTTAAGTATTAATTCATTAATCTACACCTACCAAACTATAAGCAAAAACGACATGGCAACAGAGACTGAGATCCTCTCTCTTTATAAGTAAGGCTTGGTCGTATAAATTTTATTGTAAGAGAGAGAACTAAAGATCAAGAGCAATAATTAAGAGTCAAAGAGAGAGAGAGAGAGAGAAATAAAGCTCGAGAGAAAATGGCAATGGTGCAGTGGATTCGAGTCGTGCTTCTGGTGGCGTGTTTGTGTTTTCCGGCATCTGTACAATGTATGGTTCGACATTACAAGTTTAATGTAAGTACACGTTTTCAGTTAATATCTTTTAAATGTTTCGCATCCTGCAGCAAGCTAGGGTTCATTAGTTGCCACCCCATGCAGCAGACATTTATGGTACCAAATATGTTAGCCATACGATTAGGACTTTTGCACATTTTGGTGTCTAGTTGGGGAAGGGGAGGGCTGTCAATAGTTCAGCGGGGCCGATAAAGATGCTAAAACTACAGTAGTAAAAGAACACAAACTATTTAACGGGGTTCACTCAAAATTTGACTGCGTCTAGAAAGTGCTCTGTATTAATTTGTAATTTTGTACGTAGGTCACATATTTCAACTGTATACATGGCTTAAGGGTTTTGGAACCATGCAGTACTAGTACTCTTGGTTACTGGGAATTTGCAAGTTGCCAAATCTGCAGCGCAGTATATATGCATATATATACATAGTATAAATCTGGTGTTTGGTTTTATTTTCTCATTCAAAAGAAGCAATTAATATTAGTTTATTGGTGTGTCTTGTAAATTTTATCTTTTGAATTGCTGATAGTCACCGTACCTGTTGATCTCAAATTAAGAAAAATATTTTGTATGCATTAAACTTACGGCCACTATTAGCAATTCATAATATAAAGCCATAAAGGTGACTAGCATGCTTGTCTGCATGCATGTTCTTGTCGCTGTTTTTCTTGCTAAATCAATCCTAGCTTAATTAATTGACTAAATATCGAGCTGACTAGCCAACTTACAAAATTGAAATATAATTGTGGACAGTACATCATTAGGCATTCTTCTCCTTCTTGTTCTTGACATTGATATAAACAAAATTTGATTCAGCTCTCACCTCAATGCGGGACATG